TTTATGCTTTATTCTACTTTAGTTGGTTCTGAGATGCTTCCCTGATGCTACCACATTACTTCTGTCTGGAGGAGCTGTAGCACAACAAAAAAGTGGGGAAAAGATAAACAAGAACATTTATGGTATAAAAAGTTATGAGATTTCAACAGGAGGTTGAAAATGACTGAAAATGAAACGGGGCCACCCCAAAACCTTTGCAGTCACAAACATCACAAGCACAAATCTGGAGGAGCCCATTATGTCCTGTTTACACACATATCCATAGCATTGATTTGCATGCTGCAGCTATGTGATTGTGATGCTTGCGTTACAGTGGAATTAAACTGTGCTGCTGTATTATGGGTTGCATGATGCCAGTATTATGCCATCACAACTGATAACCTTGCAGCACTGAAGCTTGAGCCAATGTTTCTATATGCTTCAATTACACTGAATCCATAGTAACTGCTTTTAGATACACATCTGTTTCCAACAGTCTTGTGCTACCTATATTATCTTTTCTTTAAAAAAAGCTGACAGTAAAAAGTATGAGGAGATGCTTATACAGCTTCCTCTAGTGCATTTTATTCTTATCATTTATCATAATCTGCATGGCAAATATTAGTTTATTGGGATGATTAGATGCCTTTTTGGAGACTTACTTGGTTGAATGATTTGATGCCACTTTACAGCAAATCCATTTAGTTTCAGCTACAAGTGGGTGGTTGTTTACGTGACAATGATGAGCAACTCTGAATGTGGGCCTATCGTGCTTTGTCAGAAATATTTTAAAATTATGGTCATTTGCAGATTAATGGTCATATTAGTTGCAGTTTAGGAGTGGGATCAATAATGTAGTCAGAGAGTAGGAGTCTGTACACAGTTTTTTATTGACAAATGAGGTAGAAAACTCTTAGTTTGAAGGTAAGATTTAATGTAATGAAATAATGTCCCTATTTGTCAACAGCATCATCACACATGCAATGACAGCGTGTATTCATAAGATCGCTGTCAGACAAGACAGCAATTAGGAAAGTGAGTTATCTGAGTGATTCACATCAAAATATAAATTACAGCAGCTGACACAGCCTTAGCTATGTGTTGCATTTAGCATTGGGAAAGTTTAGCCCTTTATTGTCTCACCTGTAAGGTTTAAATATGCATTACTGCATTTTTGAGAATCATTCCGAGTACAAGTTTTTTTGTTTTGTTTTTATTTAGTGAACTTAGTACCTTTATAGTTTGTTACCAGCTGAGGAAGAAAACACGAAGGGAAATATATATTTGTGTACAGACCAGGAATATGAATATGAAACTGCAGTTTTAGTGATGTAAAGGGCTGTGGTTTTATAGATTTAAAATTTATGTGTAAGAGGTTCTGCCATGAGTTGAGTTCTTATTCCTAACTCATCCCATCTGTAGTGCAGGTATTAACACACTTTGGACCAGGCAGCACAGGCACCTTGCTCCCTTTTAGTGATTCCACTTGCTCAGAGGCCACAGTGAATTGCACCATCCGGCTCCCCATAACTCACACAACTATCCGTGTTCTGAGGAAGGCATGGCCCCCAAGGGTGAGGCAGGCACTAAAGGGATTCTACTCCCTGTCCTCCTTAAAAGTTGTGGAGCACTCTTTTCATGTGCTACATTAGGGGTACTCAACGTGGTGCCCTCCAGATGTCATGGACTACAATTATAGTCATTACTAAGCGTTGACCATGCTGACTGGGGCTGATGGGAATTGTAACCCAAAAGAATTGGAGCGCACCACGTTGGCTGCATCCCGCTCTAAAGGATGCCTTAGGCTTCTCACCAGCTTCCCCATCACCTTTTCCCTTTAATCACACTGACTTTGTCAATTGTAACATATTTAACCAAATACATGAAGAAATTAATCAGATTTCCTGATAAATCGGGCTACCTCCCACGGTAGTACAGAATAGGTTCCCCTGGAATAGGCTTTTGTGTCATGGGTCAGGAGTCAGCTTAACCTGCTGAACAGCAGCCTGAAGGGGGAGAAGGGGGAGTGACTCCACCTGCAGCTGATCAGCCTTCAAGGACACAGAGAAGGCACTGATGAGAACCAGCTGGCTTCAGCCTTCTTAAACAGCTCTCGGCAGCAGTCAGATTCCAGAAACAACACCTGTGGTTCCCAACTTTGTACTTCTTGCTCTCTGTCTGGACCCTTGGTTTGTGATCATTGGATTTCCTGACCTCTGGATTTTCTGACAACATGGTTTGCTGTTTGCAGAACCCTTGGAATTGACTTGACTTTGTATGCTGATTCTGCCAGGTGTATCTTGGAGACTATTCTCTTTGTTTGACCTCATGTTCCACCAAGCTCTACACACTGTTGCTTGGCAGCAGGACGACAAAACTTTTGCCCCCAAGAAATCAGTTTTTAGGCTGGTTTCCAAAACTACACTGAGCAGGGGACGGCTTCTGCAGGAAGAGGAACTTTGTGTCTTTGTGTGCCGGGGGTATTTGTCCTTCAGAAGAAATTTTTGTGTGTGCAGTTCTTCGAAGGAGAGGGACAGCACCATAACCTATATCTGGGCCAGATTATAAACCACACCAGAGAAGAATCTGAGGAGTTCCAAGGGTCATAATTTGAGATGATAATTAGTGAGTTAACCTCTCTGTTCGTCGACTACACTTAATACAAGCTGATATGGTGGATGGTGAAAGGAGGATCATTGAGAGCCTTGACTGAGAGACGTTGCAGGTGGCTTTGTCTATAAATTATTTGAAAGCTAAATTATCCTGCTATGAGCCACCTTCAGAGGGTTGTGCCCTGAAAGTTCTCTTGATAGCCAGCCAGCCAGGCAGGTTCTAGAAGAGACTTGCTTTCTTAGCTTACAATGTTTAAGAACAGAAAGAGCCTGCAAGGAGGAACAAAGGAACGCCATGATGAGAAAGGTAAGTATCCAAGTATATCAATACCATATAGTACCATTTGATATCTGTAGTGCAAGAAATTCACTAAGAAAAAGACTATAATGGGTTTTTAAAAAAACATTCATTGGGTCCAGCTCATCTGTGATCATCTTCGTCTTAAAAACGAGCCATGCTGTTTCTGAAAATCAAGAGCCAAATCTCTGCTTCCCTTTCCTTCTCCTTTATCTAGGACACACTATGGCCCTTATACTATCTGGTTCATGTTTTACTTCCACTGTGCTTCAGCACTGGGCACAAGAACTTATGTCAGTAGAGTGCCTTCCGAAATGTTTTATCCAATATTGGATCTGCCTTTTGCCTGTTGCCTTTAGCAAAATAAAAGCAAAATATAAAAATAAAGTTTATTCTGTATTACCTTTACAGCCCTTCATTAAGGATCTGTACAGTGTTGACAGGGACTTGTTGCCACAGTGTAGCAGAATCTTCAAACCATGATTCTTCCATTATGCATTTCATCTTCAGCACTGATTTAAAGGAAGAGAGTGCAAGCAAATCTATGAATTTAGCATCTTAAAAGTTTAGTGTATGAGCATGTCGTTAATTAATTAAAAAGTGTAACTAATCCCAAACTGCAATTCACTCAAGGCCAAGAGGTACCAAAGAAAGTGATAGAAGAAAACACAATCTTAGGTGTTAATAAGGTGCTTTTAAAATAAGAGAATATGTTTATCGGTGAAAGTCACCAAAAGAAACCAATTAATATTCTGGATGATAAGCATCTTATATGGCATCCTTCTGTGGGTAGGGTTAGTCAAAACTGTAGCATTCACATTCTGTTTCCACTAAGATAAAGTTTTCAGATCTTGGCTTCATAAAATTTAAATGTTTATTATACACTGTAATCCAGAACCTTAAAAAGTAAAACAACCATTTCCGTTACAGTCCTTGGAAATGTAGGTCTAACCAACTCCAGTATGCATCTTCAAAGTTGAACTGAGTGAAACACATAAGGGAGCCTAAGGTTATACCACTATATAGGTTGATAAGTTTATTGTTTTGCCTTGGGTATGTGTTTCTGGTATGTGGATTTTAATGCTCAAGTAAGTTATGCTAGAGACTAATGTCCTTCAATTAGCTGCTGAATTAATGTGGATTGGCAACACACACTATGCAAATAACCTCTTTATTTATTACATTTGTTTCCCACCTTTCCTCCAAAGAGTTTAAGGTGGCACACATGCTTTCCCACCTGTCCATTTTATCCTCAAAACAGCCTTGTGAGGTAGGTCAGTTTACAAGAGAGTGACTGGCCCAAGGTCACCTAATGGCCTTCATGGCTGAGTGGGAATTTGAACCCTGGCATGTCTTGAGAGTCCCATGGACTGCAAGAAGATCAAACGTATCCATTCTTAAGGAAATCAGCCCTGAGTGCTCACTGGAAGGACAGATCGTGAAGCTGAGGCTCCAATACTTTGGCCACCTCATGAGAAGAGAAGACTCCCTGGAAAAGACCCTGATGCTGGGAAAGATGGAGGGCACAAGGAGAAGGGGACGACAGAGGACGAGATGGTTGGACAGTGTTCTTGAAGCTACCAGCATGAGTTTGACCAAACGGCGGGAGGCAGTGGAAGACAGAAGTGCCTGGCGTGCTCTGGTCCATGGGGTCACAAAGAGTCGGACACGACTAAACGACTAAACAGCAACAATGCTAGGCTCTAGTCCAACTCTCTAACCACTTCCTCACATTATCTTATTACTTTAATTATGATCCAAGTCAAAAGAACATTTGTTTCCATTTGTGGGAGTTTGAGCATGGTAAGTGGGTCTTGTGGATGTTCTGACATCACATGCTGAAAATTCACTCACAACCCGTGGCTTTCAAAGTTGTAGGGCAGGATCCAGGCAATTGTATTTAGAGCACAATGCAGGGCACCTGAAGACAATCCAACCTGCTTGCAAAATTTGAGGAAATTTGGGAGAAGCAACCAATGCAGTGAAAGGATCTTCAAGTGGGAATTAGAAGTATGCTTTAGTGCAATGACCACTTCTAGTAACCCAAGCTGCTTGTACTGGCCCACCAGGTCTGTCAAAATTGGGTACCTTGACCAAGATTAAAAGGTGGGGCAGCTCAGTTGGTAGGACCTGAGGCTTTTAATCTCAAGGTTGTGGGTTCAAGCCCCACGTTGGGCAAAAGATTCCTGCATTGCAGGGGGTGAACTAGATGACCCATGTCCATTCTCCCAACTATAATTCTATCAGATGAAGGTCTGGGTTTTGCAACTCATGCTGTGAGTAGGCATGATTATGTGTCGTAACATGTGTTTAGTTGGTCTCAGAATGAGATTTCCTCCATTTGCACTTTTTTTGTCCAACCCACAAACTGCAGCTCCTTAAAATACCAGGGAGCAGTGTGATTTAAAACAAAATCTACCTGCATCCCTTATTCCTATTAATCTAGGTAGAACTAAGTCAGGTCCATTGTATGGACTATAATTAGGTAATAAAATATTTTATATTAGGTAGGATAGCGCATATATGGCCCTATGCCTGATTACGCCATCCACAGTTGCTGTTCCTAAATAAAATAGGATGAGATAATACTGACCTTATGAGAACCCTGGCTGCTTCTGCACCTAAATAAAGGAGGATGAGATAATGATGATCATTACCAATTTCTGTATGTTGGCTTTTTTCCCTTCCAGAATATGACACAATCCTGACATTACTTGAATGCATTCTGTTTTATGGGCTGATAATGCATATCCTCTGGGCTTCATACCAATGCAAATAGTAACTGTCTTAAAAAGCTGCCAAAAATGCTATTTTGCGATTTACAGCATGTTGCAGATGATGTTACGGAGCTATGTAATAGGATAGTGAAGCAAGCAAATGTTGGCTAGCTGGATAAATGAGCTTCAGCATTGTGTTGAGTAGGAGCAAATTGGTAAGCTCCTTCTTGGGTACATAGTGACAGCTACTTTTAACAAGAGGTTGTCTCAGGAAAGCATGACCAAATTCCCCATGGAGAACTAGATGACACAGTCTATCCTTGCAGAAAACTATTCCTCAGTTGGACGGGAGAGGTTCCTAACATGTTTGTTTATGTCATTACAAGTCAAGTTGCAAGACAATATCAGGCTGATCCTAATTACCCTAATCAGAAATGCAACATCTATCCAAAAGTGTCCAAATGCCATGCTTGGAAGGGAACTGCTCAATATGTTTGTGAGAGAGGCAGACCTGTTTAGTCTCTAACATAAGAATATGACAGGAGCCTCCTGAATCATGCCATTGGTCCATCTAGTCCAGTATTGTGTTCTCACAGTGGCCAACCAGATGCTGGGGGTTGAACCTGAGATCTTCTGCATACAAAGCAGATTCTCTACCACTCAGCTGTGTCCCTTCCGCAGTTTCATTTTCAGTCTGATCATGTTTCTTTATTATAGAGGTGCATTATCATATCGCCAAGCTTCAAGATAAGTTTCCCCTGAATTTGTAGCAGGGGAGGAATATATCTCCCACCAACCCCAAGACAAAGGTGTCTCTTCTATACTTCTCAGATCTTTAAAACAGAATTTTCTTTAATAATTGTCTTGTAGTGAGGCAGACGCTCTAGTAACAGTAATTCCTAGCAAGTAAGTATGCAAATACACATAGGATGGAATAAATTAACACCAGTGCAAACTTGCAGTGCATAAACCAAACAGGATTATAGTTATAGTCATACGCACACTTGCTAGAGACAGGAGTACCACATTTTTCCATGTATAAGATGATGCTTTTTGCTAAAAAAAATTAGGCAAGCAGGAGATTGGCAGCGGCGATTGGGTGGGTGATTGGTGGTTGCGGCAAGGCCTCTGGCAATTGGCTGTGGCTTCGGCAATTGGGCAGGCGATTGGCGGCAGTGGTGAGGCAGGCAGGCGATTGGCAGCTGCAGCAAGTGGGCAGGAGGGCTGTTGCTGGCGGCAAGCAGGCATACAATTGCCGGCTGCAGTGAGGTGTGCAATTGGCAGTGACTGTGGCAAGCGATCAGCATTGGCGGGGGAGCGATTGGCGGAAGTGACCTCCCCTACCCTCCCAAAAAGCTAGACAACTTTATTTCTTAAATATTGGGTTTTAAAAAATAGGGTTGTCTTATACATGGGGGAGTCTTATACACGGAAATATACGGTATGTCTTATTGAACTCAGTGGGACTTATTTCCAAGTGCAGTATTACAATAACTCAAAATAAGTGGGGAAAGTACCGTTGTTTCACTTGACAAAAAGAGGTCCCAAATGTGAAGTCAGGGTTCTGAATTTTAATGCATCTGAATGAGTAAGATTTGAATCTTACTCATTTGGACACTTTAAAATTCAGAATTTGGACAATGGGGTCATTTCCAGCTCTGGTTTCCCTGCCATTTCAGGGAAAACTCCCCCCTTCCATTTCTGTCAATCTGTGATAAAGGAATCAGGGGAATATGTGAGTTGCTTTGTTTTACCGATTGACCGCATAAAAAGCTCAGCTTCATAAACTGTGTTAATTTCTGTAATTTTCTTTATCTTCCACTCAGTTTGATTGTTAGCATTTTCACCTGTTTAAAAGTAATTACAGAAGGAAATGTGAAAGTCATAGTATCATTGCCCTGCATGCTCAGAAGAACTCAATGGGGCTAATCACGTGAATAATGTTAGTGCCTAAAGGAATAACGGTACTGAACCATAGCAAGCCTGTGTATGCACTAGTTAATAGGTTTCCACTAATACAGATAAGTCGCTGTTGCACCATCAATCTGCCAAAGTATAGATAAAGATTTTCTTGCTGCCATACATTTCAATTAAACTTACGAGCTGATGGCTGTATGTGAGGCCGAGCCACAGAAGGCTTGTACTTAAGAATCTGATCTCACCTGGGCTTAGATAGACTGACGGTTGAATTATAGATATAGACATTTAAGGGAGGGGGTGTGGAATAAAAAAAGAAAAGGATTCATCTTTGCCATTAGAAAGTTAATCCTCACCTTCAAAATGCACATTTTCATTCAGTGATGCATTGGAGCATTATTCAGCTGCCACCAGACTGCGGCATGTGGCTTTGGCGTTCTGATCCTTTGAACTAGGCTTGGAAATGGACTGCCTAACTTGCTTCACAAATTTCTGTTCCCTTCCTAGCGGCAGCACTGAATTAAGGGCCAGCCCCATTTGTCGATTTCAGCTTGTAGATTTAAGAGCACGAGGCCATAAGGCAAGCCTGCTAGATAAGCCCAATGGCCTATCTAGTCCAGCATCCTGTTCTCCCAGTGGCAAGCTTTACCACTTAACTTTTAAAGAGCAGGAGGTATCTGTTACCTAATGGCAGGCTTGTACAAGGCTTGCACAAACCTGTTACTTCCTCTTGCATAGAGTTCTGCTTTTAGAAATTACCAAGAAAACTGAAGGGGGGAAATCCTTTTTTAACAATATTTTTTCCCCATGTGTAGTTTTAAAATGGAGCTGCATGCCCAGCTAACAAAGCATAGCAGAGATTAGACGTGTCAAATGGCACATTACTGCAACCAACTAGTGATAAAATATGCAGGGTTAAGGGGCCTGTCTGAACTATAAATTAGTTTAACTATCATTACTTCCTCATTCCCACAGAGTTTTCATTTTGAGGGGAATCTGGGGATGCTTAGCCTATATATATATATTAAATACATATATTCTCATAATATTTAAAAACTATTACTCCACGGTCAGGAAGTCATTGCAAAACCTTTTTAATTCACTTTGTTGCTGTAGTTGTGTTCAGTGTAGAGTTTAGAGAATGGTGGTGGGTTTATTTATAGCAGGGGTAGGGAACCTTGCAGAATGCTCTCCTCAGGGAGGGCCGCCTTGTGCTTTGGTTACATCTTTATGCGTCAGGCAAAAATATTCTTCTCCCTGGCCTTTGGCTAATTAAATAATCGATGGCCTTTTAAAATGGGGAGTGGGAGGGGGAATTGCTTTCGCTTGTTACTATGTTATGTATTTTTGTGTTTTTATATTGTAAACTGTCCCGGATGAAGAGCTCTACAGATATGTAATAAACAAATAACAACAGTAGTAATAGCTGCAGACCCACTCACAGTGTTCCCCACCCCCCAGGGAGCAAATACCTAGACAGAGATAGGTGGAATAAACAGCAGAAGATGTTCTGGGTATTTTAAAATTGGCCACAGATTTTATTGATTACAATTGTAGGTAGGGTTTGGCACAGGCATTGGGTGTGTGTCCATTCTCAGCCTTCAGATGGAGGGCTGACATTTGAGCAGGGTCATGCCTGGGATTATTGGACCTCCTCAAGATGCAGTTCTCCCTAGGTGGCCCCCTGAGGCTGCTGCTGGAAACTCCAGAACCTCTCTGTCCCACACTTGGCTCTGGACAGACTTCCATCAAGATCCCTCTAATGCGGTACCCTGAGATTGCACCTGTATGGGATAGGAGTCATGCAGCACTTTGCCCCAACCCAATGTTAGACGAAGGATTCCACCCAATGCCTTATCTGCCAAAAGTTGTGGCTATTGCTATGAGGAAGGCAAAACTTCCAAACGGGGGCAATCTGTTTGCAGGCGAATTCCTTCCTGGCTCCGAATGTGACAACCATTAATAAATTACAGCAAGGTCAGTTAGGCAGTGTGAAGGAAGGGAAAGGGGGTTAGCATACAAATAACCACAACATAACAGTGTGGGAGGGAGAGCTGCTCTTTGGCCGATTGCCGTCCCAGCTTACGGTATTTTTTGCTCTATAAGACTCACTTTTTCCCTCCTAAAAAGTAAGGGGAAATGTGTGTGCGTCTTATGGAGCGAATGCAGGCTGCACAGCTATCACAGAAGCCAGAACAGCAAGAGGGATTGCTGCTTTCACTGCGCAGTGATCCCTCTTGCTGTTCTGGCTTCTGAGATTCAGAATATTTTTTTTCTTGTTTTCCTTCTCCAAAAACAAGGTTCGTCTTGTGGTCTGGTGCGTCTTATAGAGCGAAAAATACGGTATATACTTCTGGGTGGCAGACCAGAGTGAAAACTACTCCACATCCAAGCTCCACCCCCTTTGGCCTACCACACAGGCCGCTTCAGATTTAGTGGCTAGTGGGCTTTCCTGCCCTCCCTTGTGGCTGGCCAAGTGGGAATTCCCAGTGGCTGGACCATGCAGGGGTTGTTTGCTCCACAAAGGTGAGGGCCTGCTGCGAT